GGGGGGGGGAAAAGGGGATCAGGGACACCCCAAAAATCACCCAGGGACCCCCTCGGATCCCACAAGGAGCCACGACCCCACAGGGATACCCCAAATCCTACAGGGACCCCCTGAACTCAACCAGGGACCCCCAAAACCCACCCAGGAGCATCCAACTCCTCCATGGAGCCCCTGAACTTCTCCAGCTGGGAAAAGGGGGGAAAAGGGGATCAGGGACACCCCAAAAATCACCCAGGGATCCCCTTGGATCCCACAGGGAGCCATGACACCCCAGGGATCCCCCAAATCCTACAGGGACCCCCTAAACTCAACCATGGGCATCCAACTCCTCCATGGAGCCCCTAAACTTCTCCGGCTGGGAAAAGGGGGGGAAAATGGGATCAGGGACCCCCAAAAATCACCCAGGGACACCCCCGGATCCTACAGGGAGCCACGACCCCACAGGGACCCCCCAAATCCCACAGGGATCAGTGGTGGGTCCCCTGAAGCTGATTTTGGGGTTCCCCAAAGGAGTTTTTGTGTCCCCCCCAACCTGATTTTGGGGCTCCCAAGGATGTTTTTGGATCTCCTGAAGCCAAATTTGGGGGTTTTGGGGTCTCCTGAAGCCAAATTTGGGGGTTTTGGGGTTTTCTGAAGCCGGTTTGGGGGGTCCCAAGAATGCTTTTGAGTTCTCTGAAGCCAATATTGGGGGTACCGGGGAGCTTTTGGGTCTCCTGAAGCCAATTTTGGGGGTCCCAAGGTTTTTGGTTCTGAAGGTCATTTTGGGGCTCCCAGGGGGGTTTTTAGGTCTCCTGAAGCCGGTTTTGGGGGCCCCAGGGGGTTTCTCGGGCCCCTTAAGCCAATTTTGGGGGTTTTGGGTCTCCTGAAGCCGTTTTTGGGGCTCCCAGGGGGGTTTTGGGGCCTCCTGAAGCCGTTTTTGGGGGTCCCACCTTGATGTCGGAGGCGTTCTCCAGCATGGCCTGGCGGGACGAGAGCTCGGCCTGGGACACCGAGAAGTCGCCGTCGGCGGCAACCGCGGCCGCTCGAATGGTGGCCACCTGCCGCTCGTACTCCAGCTGGGCGGGGCGGGGGGCGTGGTCACACAGGGGACACGCCCACAGGGTCAGACACACCCACAGGGTGGGACACGCCCCCCTCCCATAGCTGAGCCACGCCCCCTCCAAGCCACACCCCCTTGCCACAGGCCTCTCGTACGCCAGCTGGGCGGGGTGGGGGGCGTGGTCACACAGGGGACACGCCCACAGGGTCAGACACGCCCCCTCCCATAGCTGAGACACGCCCCCTCTCCAAAGCCACACCCTCCTGGTGGCCACCTGCCAATCATGCTCCACCTGGGTGTGGTCAGCCCAAGGACACACCCACAGGGCTGGACACACCCACTATTGCTGGGCCACACCCCAATGTTAAGCCACACCCCCAATGCTAACCCACACCCCCAATGCTAAGCCACACCCCCATGTAAAGCCACACCCATGATGTCCCCATAAGCCCCACCCTCATAAGCCCCACCCCCAAAACTAAGCCACGTCCTCATGCAAAAGCCACACCCCATCACTAAGCCACGCCCCCTTGAGCCACACCCCCATCACTAAGCCATGAGCCCAAGCCACACCCCCAGCACCAAACCACACCCACTCTAAGCCACTCCCCCTTGAGCCACACCCCTAGTGGCAAAGCCCCGCCCCCAGCCCCACCCTCTCAACCCCAGGCCCCACCCCCTTGGCCCTGGCCCCGCCCCCTCGGGCCCCTCCCCCTCACCTGCTTCTTCATCTTCTTCTTCTCCTTCTTGCTGACCCGGGGGTCCGGCCCCGCCCTCGGCCCCGCCCCCTCCTCATCCTCCTGGAGGAGACCCCAGAACATGTCAGGGACCCCCCCAGAACCCCACAGACCCCCCA